AGCTGTTTAAGCTTTTTTTACAGTTTATTTTCATAATGAATGCAAATACACTTCTTTGTCAATCGATACTCCGCCACCAATAAATAAACTTTTGTCGTGATTTTGAACTCCCACTTTTTCGAGAAAGATCTGAGTTCTCAAGTTTCCAAATGGCCACGAAGTTTTTTACCTTCAGTAGTGTTCATCTACGAATCTTTACGTTCTGCGAAAATCATGGTTCTTCTGTTTCTTGAAATCATGCAACCCCAGTGCCAAATACATGTACAGGTCTGGTAAAAACCGACTTTGGCAAAAGGCTTCAGTATTAACCTGGCTCAAGAGATTATAAACTCTTCATAATCTCTTGCCTTGGCCACAATATGGCTTTTACAACAATTCCATCGCTAATCTTTTCATATCTCTCCCTACGGTGTTTTTGTACTCCTCTTAACTCTTAAACTCCCATAAGTGATTATGACAGAAGTTATCCTTGCAATATTCATACCATATCAAGCAGAAAAGTGATGAGATGATGGGTTATTGGTTGATGCAACACCGAATTGTTTGAACTTAGATCATAAGAATAATGTGGCAGTCAGTGAGGAGACTTATTAATGAGATCTTTAGAGTGATATGGTTTAAGATACAAATAAAAGCCCGTGATAAGTTCTCTCTAGGTCTTCAAACAAACCAGCCCGTTCAAATTTTCAATATTAGCTGTCTGATAACCTCTTTGAAAACAGGTTGAACGGACAACGGTAAAAAAGGTTTACAGAGCCCTAATTCTTAGCTCTATACTTGCGCTCTACTTGTAAATTCGGTTGATGAGCCCCAGGGAAAAGGAAAGGGTGTTCGAATTTGGAACCACCTTTTAAAGCTGTTGATAAAAAATCTTCGATGGCGCCACACAATTATATTGTAAATTTCAGTGATAATTAGAACGGAAGGCCAATGACTTACAGAATCCAATATTTCCTTCGGCACTGAAAAACAGCTCGACTATCGGACCGATCCACAATGTTTATGGTGCACCCAGCTGAGGAAAAAAAACTGGGAATATTTGCGGAATGTTTGTTAGACACCATAACAATATAGATTTTGCTTTCCTGTAGATACTACTGACCACATCAGTATGTTCTCCCTGTCGTGTTGTTCTAAATTAATAATAGACATAAAATTTGGCAACGGATGTAGCGCGCGTTAAAGAGTCAGGCTTGAAACGTTTGATTATCGACACAAAGCAATTCGAAGTTATTTGTTAAGAGTTTGTATCCATATTTTTCTCAAGTCGATTCAAGACTCTAATCCAAGTTCAGCAACCTTTTTTTTAGCGCACTGTATTTTTTTAAAAAAATAATCTTTAAAAGCGAGGTTTCGTAATGTTACTGAATGTTTGTAATCATCTTGAAGTAAAAATGTAGAAAATATTAAAAGGATATACCATTTAGTTTTGTTGCTTATAAAGAAAGCTTTCTCTGTTTTTCCCAAAAACAATGCAATAATTGTGTCAAATCATGAATAAGCTAAACAAGGGCAAATTAGTTTATTCTACCGTAACTTGCTTCTTGTCATTCACATCACCTATCTTTAAAAACATACTTCGCAGGAGAGCCGACAATTTCACTGACTTAACTGCGTTACGTTGAAATCTCTTCTACCGCATACTGCAAGCTAACACTTCCATAAAACATGAGGCACAACTGAGAGACATAGATCAGAATAAAAGAAAATGTTACTGGTACCTTTGAAGTGAAATTATCCAGCAAGGTCCTCCAAAAGCAGGAAACTCGACCTCAGACGAAAATGGTTGCAAATGCTTTACAGAAAGATACCTTGATATATATCGTTTCGGTCAGCGATTTCCGACCCAATTAAATTAGGGGTAACTATTTTTTATTGTATTATTTTGGTACCATGAGAGAACAAACCGATGACAATATCTAGAACGGCGAAGATGATGCGATTAGAAATAACTTCATGAATCTTATCTCAAGAATGGTAATTTAAAGATTTAAATTTTTGGTACTGATATTATGCTTAAAATATACAAAAACAAGCTTTTTCTTGCGAGAGACCCGGAGTTGGTTAAATATTACAAACAATTAAGTTGTATCACAACAAACATCCATAATAAAACTTACTTTGATAATTTGAAGTATATTTCTTTTTTTCTACACTTTGTTAACTAGTTTGAAATTTGGAACCAAAATCTGAAGTATGGAGATCTGTTGATTCAAAAGTTAAAACAATCTCGCAGAGCATTTCCGTTTTCAGTATATTTCTCTTGGCGGCGCGAGGTAGTCTCGGAATATTGGATATTTATCAAAAGTTCAAGCTAAAGAGACAGGCGGGTCTAACATTGTAAAACGGAAACAAAAGTATTCTTAAACATGGCGGTTCCTGATTTTCTGATTAATCTCTTTTATGATAAAACTGATTAACTCTAAAATTGCTCATTCATTGGATACTCTTTCCGGTGAAAGAGCTTTTTTTTATTTCGTTTTATTTTATTTTGTTTTTGTTTTGCGTTGGAGACACTCTTCAAACTGAAAATATCTGCAGATAGCTGATGAAAGATAAACTTTTAACATAGTAAAAGTAAAGAGTGATAGGCAGCGGTAAAAAATGAGATCGCGGCAACGACTTTACGGTTACATGTTCTGAAGCACTCTTAGGTATATTTGCTACTCTTATATATGTATGGTGTCACAAGAGAAACATTCCTTAAAACGAAAATATCTGCTGATGGTGTTTAAGAAGCATCAAGATTTTTTTTTTCTTTTTTGCAATAATCAAAAATAAAGAACTTTCTTCTCCCGCCACTTTGATTTTAGTACTGAGAAACAGATCGGCGATTATCGATAAACGGTGGAATTGTAATTAAAAGAGTAAATGACGCTGCAAGAGAACTGACATCGACGTACGAAAAACCCCAGCTGTCAGAAACTATGATTAAACCATAAGTATTGATCAATTAAAACGTGGACGGCTTTTATTAAAAGGAAATTTTAAAAAAAAACTGCTATTTTCTGTGTGCATTTTTTTCAGCTTCGCAATTAAAAGCGATTTATATTTATCAGAGGATAAATGAAAAATAAACATTACAGATAACGAATGATTGACTCAGGAAAAAATTGAAATGTTGCAGTAATGATTTAAGTTCAAATTTCTTGAAGTACCACTTAAGTGTATTTGTTACCTTAACATATGGGATGCACGGAATGGACGCCGCCGATTTGCATACCGACTAAAGTAGCATTTATGGTTTGCTAACACTTTACTCTTGGTTGTAATTCATTACCGATGATTCTAAGATTGCCGCTTGCATTGTATGTTTAGGTAGTCTGATTAAATTGATTCAGAAATGCGTAACTTTCTAAGACAAGATAAAATATCCGAAGGTCTGAGGTTCGATTCCTGATGGGGACTCAGAATTTTTTTTCTTTGTTCCACGGCCGTGACAAGACGAAAAAATATCTTCCGATCCATATAAATATTTACTCTTAATCAGTTAATATAACTTTTGTCGTCTGAACAAAGGTGCATCATTATGGCATTTTAAAACAAACAGCCATGGAAATAATTTTGAAATGCCAATGACCAATAATCTTAACAAACTGGTTGGAAACCGAATGACAACAACTAAGAGTTCATTGCCTCAAAATAGCTGTCAAATAAATACGATATTGATAGTCCTGACGTAAAAAAGTAATCATAAGTAATATTTCTCTAATAGCTTATAACTTGCCACGAAATTTATATGAGATAGTTCAAGTGAAGAGAAAAAGTGATATCAAGTACTTTTGATAACAAAAAACCGATTTTAATTAGTCCATGGTTAATGATTTTGAAATAAGTTCTCTAACCGTTCTGAAATCCTTTGGTTTGGTTTAAAACTTTTTAAAGACCATCATCAGCTCACTTAGAAAATCAAGCTTTTTAGGAAAAACTCAAATAGACCATCTTCTTCGACAATATTGTATTTACAGTGCTTATGAGTTTAGCTGAGACAGCTAAGTAAATTGTAATCATTGATAATTAAAATGTTAACATGCGTAAATTCAAGCGAGATAGGAAGATAGCATATCTTTTTTTAAGAAAAAAAAAAAAAGAAATTCTTTAGATTTTCCAAGAGTATTACAATTAAATCGAGTACTCTAGAAAGTAAAACGGGAATTAGCTCTAGAAACCTGTCCGACATTCATTTAACTTTTATGATCTGACCATTATTAATTTTCTTTTATAGCCGCTGTAAACATCTATCACTTTCTCTTTTCGGTACTTTCATCTAAAACTTAGATTTCTTGTTCGAAAAAACAAGTCATACGATGACTGAGTATACAAGTCTTCTGTTTGTGAGTTTAGCTTGGAAAGTAAAAACAAACTGTAATTAAAAATCATTCAAATGTTAGAGTGTACTTCAGCTAAAAGTTTAGTAGTGGGCAGTAAAAATTAAGTAGAAATACTTTAACAATTTAAACATCTAAAATCAAGGACGGAAATCTTTTAACGAGGAGGTCAAAGAATCAATACTGTGGAATAGCTTTCCTTTACATTTGTTTAGCTTAGTTCTAAACGGCTTGGTAAATCTCTCGCTTTTTTTATCGATAATTTCAAAGTTATTGAGTAAAGGCAAGAAAGAGAAAGAGTGCGTCGCGTGATCCTTAAAAACACTCAAGGAAATTTGTTAAAAAAATTGCATTGGTGTATATGTTGATGAAACTTTTGTGTTTTTGTTAAGTGGTTAAATATGTACTTTTAACACGCCGTTCTATTTATTTTTAAAGACAGATCACGTATTTCATGTGACGTGAAGGGAAGACAACCATTATTTTCACGCCTTTGCTTTAGACAGTTCCTGAAAAAGAGGCATTTTAGCATGAGATAAAGCACACACTTTCTTACGACCAAAACAATTAGGAAATAAACAATCTAAAAGCTATAATTTTCCTGTTTGTATTTAAGACCACATAAAGCATTAATTTGTTTATTTTTGTATAAACTAAATATGAAATGTTTCCTTCCGATAACACCATACACTAAAATTCACGGATCTACAACACACAGAGGAGTCTATCTGATTCAAGCGATTCAACTAACTTGGCTGCGCTTTTAAACAGTTCAGAATGCGCTCATTACCTATTGTTCTAATCCTTGTGTCATTGATCGCTTGCTCAGCGAGGCCACAACAATCTTCTCTGCGTTCCAAGCGCTCCCGTAAGTATTTTGAGGGTAATGCAGTGAAATTGCGAACGTTTACGAGTTCTGTCAGACACTCGCCATGTGCTATCGCCCGAAGTTTTGAATATATTTCTGGTTGTTTGTTATTATTACTATCGAAAAGTTAAATTCTTACCTGTGAGTTTCCTTTCCATCTTCGGAAGTGTATCTCTAAGTTAATTCTGAAGCAAAAGCAGTAGTAGTATCACCATTGGAATAGGCTTTAACCAGAAAATATAAAGCAAAAAAACAGTGACATCTCTTTACTTCAGGTACGAAAGCTACAGTCGCCCCACCATCCACCCCACCGTGACTATTTTCATCCTAAAAAATCTATCAGAATCACCCCCACGGGGAGGATTTGTCTTATCGTCAGTTTTGCCGATGGTTTAAACCTGCCGCTCGAAGGATAATAGGACATTTTGAATACAGTTTTGCGTGTATTTTAAAGCTGTTTCTGCCATTGTTCCAACGTAGCCATATACTGTCATTGTTAATCGTGTAACAAAGCCTGCTGTAATCTAAGCTGATCCACATTTCTTGATACGAGTCTATTGAAACAAGACTTACACAGATGGAGGTTGTCTCCATTTCTACTGATATCTCTATGATAACCCTGTGGGTTCCGCTCCACCTCTAAGTATCAGTCATCAAAGTGGTCAATTCATACCGTTACTGACCAAATCTGCTCCGCCAATCTTTTTCCAAAGTTTGAGGGGAAAAAAAACCAGAACTATTTATATTTCAATATGCCGTAAATTGTACAACCTTCATCGCAAAAGTGCCAACGAAAAACATTGAAACATCAAACTCAATCGACGGAAGTGAGTGAGGGCCTTTACAATGATTCCTTCACGAACGTTTGATTACAAGAGTGAAGGTTTTATAGATACAGGTGTTCCAGTAAGCGTTGAACTTTTTTCAAAGTTACAGGAAAGAGGTTACATGATTCCCGCCATGAAATTTATTCTACAGTCTTAATAATGCGAAGCAAAGACATCAGCTAAGCTATGTTATCTCTAATTTGTTGAAAAAAAAGTGGCCTATATATGTTCAGCGCTTATAGCAAAAGAAGGGGACAGGTTAAAGTGACTCGGTTTTATCAACCAAGTTGTCAATGTAAACTGGCCGCCGTAGAGAGTTTCAAAAGCTAGCGTTTTTAGCGATAGCCCTTCGTATTCGCTCTGACGAAGGACTGAAGCTTGAAACATACGGTAACCAATTTCATTTTTAATTCAGTTGATAAAGCCAAATCATCTTTTAATAACCACCCCCCCACCGACGCAGCACCACAGTTTCCATAGAAACGTACACCTTTATTCAGTTAGAGTAACTGATAATTCTCATCCTAAACAGACTGCGTTGACTGGTATCAGTATTGCAGCTATTGGAGACGTCTTGGATATTGTCATCCCAACAGTTATTACTACAACTCAATGAGGATGTATTGCAAGAGGACATGCGGTCTTTGTGAAGGTGGGTTCAGCGGTATATTATATTAGGTACGAACCATTTACCTTTTAACTCTCAAGATCTGATTGTTTATTCTCCCTTCAATCTTATACACATTTCCTTCTAACGAGAATTTGGCGTTAAATCAAGGTAACAACTTCTACCTGATAAGTTTGAATATTCTCATGACCTGTTTGCTGGATAATGTATGGATATTATAGGGAGAAGTTATTTGTTAATCACTTCTGGGAGTTAAGGGTTAACAGAGCCTTACACTATGCAGAGTTCTTTGTACACTCCCCAAGCAGCTACGCTACGGCCATTTTTGTAAACAATAATTATCGTTATTTCTGCGACAGAGTAGAATTACAGAAAGACCCGTGTCAAAAATGGCAGAATTAATTGTTCTTTTTCTGTATACATGCAAATTACCCCTTCTTGCCTCGTCAACAAGTCTAAAAAAAAAAAATTCTGTTCAAAAGCGAACCCAACAGGGCTGTAGAGTTACCGAAAGACCTGTGTCACAAATGGCAGACTTAATTGTTAATTGTTAACATGTTTGAAAAAATTAAATTCTGATCAAAAACGAAGCCAACAGGGCCTATATGTAAGGACCTGAAAGAATAATAACCACACCAGCCTCTGTAAAAGGAATCGGGTGTAAAAAGGACTCATTCCAGGTTCATTTTGTTTATAGTTACATACATTAAAGTTTAAAAAAAATTCTAAACTATATTTGTGTATTCCTTCTTTGTGTTAGCATGCAGGGATAAAAATGCAAATTGCAGATATTGGGGCAGCCGAGGATACTGCCAACAAGGAAGCTATTACTATAAGTTCATGATCATCTACTGCCCGGCTACGTGCAGCGTTTGTAGTAAGTAAAACAATCTAGTGAAGGACATGGAAAGGAACTAATGTCCTTATCATACAGCTTGAGGTAAAAACTCCAGGAACTGAGCCAATAGATTAAACCTATTTTGTAGAGTTCTTACAGAAAAATACGACAGATTTTATTTATTTCTTTATTTATCGATTCAATAATTATTTATACACAAAAATTTCTTTTCACCCAATATGATTTTAATGCACCGGGTATCTAGGTATTTTTAGCTGGCAGTTCTTTTAAGTCGTTTTTTTCTTTCTTGACCTTTCAATTTCGTCGTCTTCTCTCTTTAGATTGTTTACCTGACTCAACTGGATCCTGCTCGTATTGGAAAAGACTTGGTTATTGTAGCTCCGGCAGTTATTACTACCAATACATGTTACTTCATTGTCAAACATCATGCGGATTTTGTGTCAGTAAGTAGCGACGTGATCTGCTACTTCCACGTACAGGACAACTGTATAAAAATAAATTTTAGTGTACCGTGCTTCTGTTCATTCGCACATCACAAAGAGACACGTCTAACTTGACGTTTGGCACTTTTACGTTTGCACAGAAGCAGATGCTTTTGTAGACAGAAGTAATGTATAATTCATTTGACGTAACCGTACTTCCTACATAAGAACAGTTCGATGCCTTTGAGTAATTCTTCACAAAGGAAATCCAACAATGACGCTATTTATCGTTGAGTACAAGGTCAAAGCTTCTCAGAAAACTTTGCCTGAGTTCCTATAACGTCTCTTTTCACTTAAATGGTTTATTTCAGAGCCAACTACAACACAGCCAGTCACTACAACTCCAGTGACCACTGCTGCACCAGGTACCACTGCTGCACCAGTTACCACTGCTGCGCCAGGTACCACTGCTGCACCGGGTACCACTGCTGCACCAGGCACCACGGCTGCGCCAGGCACCACCGCTGCACCAGGCACCACCGCTGCACCCGGTACCACTGTTGCACCAGGTACCACTGCCGCTCCAGGTACCACCGCTGCACCAGGCACCACTGCTGCACCAGGCACCACCGCTGCACCCGGTACCACTGCTGCACCAGGTACCACTGCCGCTCCAGGTACCACTGCTGCACCAGGTACCACTGCTGCCCCAGGTACCACTGCTGCCCCAGGTACCACTGCTGCACCAGGTACCACTGCCGCTCCAGGTACCACTGCTGCACCCGGTACCACTGCCGCACCAGGCACCACCGCTGCACCAGGTACCACTGCAGTGCCAGGCACCACTGCTGCACCAGGCACCACCGCTGCACCAGGCACCACTGCTGCACCAGGTACTACCGCTGCACCAGGTACCACTGCTGCACCAGGTACCACTGCCGCCCCAGGTACTACTGCCGCACCGGGTACCACTGCTGCTCCAGGTACCACAGCTAGCCCTGTGACCTCAGGGGAACCAAGCACCACGGATAGTCCTTCAACAACAGATTCACCCAGTACTTCTGCAAATCCTTCAACCACGAATGCGCCGATCACAACTTCACAGGTTTCGACAGCTCCTCCACCTCCCGCTGGTATTACAGATATTTTACTTCTTTAAGTTTTTCTCCCCTAGATATAAAAGTTTTATTACTGAGTTAAGTAAAAGTTTGCATGAAAATTCCAACTCACTTTTTAGCTGAAAGCACATAGACTAATTCCAAAAGGAGCATGAAAGAAGAAAATTAAGTGCAAAAATTTGAAATTTTGTTTAGGGAACTAATATAGGATGTATCTAATTTTTACACGTCTTAGGAAACTCTCCTTCTGCTAATTTAATCCAAATTGCTCCAACAAAATCATTTCATTTTAAATTGACTTAATGAATCACCGGTAAAGTATAAACATATGGACCTTAAAATGTGCCGTATAGTTTCATCGGTTGTACCTTGCGATATGTACGCTCTTTTTTTTTTTCAGAACATGCCAAAGAAAACTGCTCTTTTTAAAGCATGTGACCTTTAAGGATAATCATTTACAATCGCTCTGAATTTTTACAGAAAATGCCTGCTTGAAGGGACACAACGACAGGCGTGCTCTGCATGGGGCAGATCCGCTGGTCTGGAATGACACTTTGGTACAACGCGCTCAGGTCTGGGCAGATCACTTAGCAGCTAACAACATTATTGAACATGATCCTAATCGCAATGGTGAAGGAGAAAACATAGCCTTTTTTCAGGGACATGACTCTGCTGATTGTGCTGATGCCTTGATTGGATGGTAGGGCAATTCTGATTTGCAAATTTACTTAACATTACATAGAAAGTCCTAAAAATTCTTCTAATATTGCTTTCAATAACAATCGTTGCTTCATGCCTGTCCTCAAAAGGAAGGGGTTTCTCCAATCAGTTAGAAACATGCAGTAAATTAACAACCATCGCAAAAATTTTGGTAAGGCTGACCACTCCAGAATAGTCAAAACATTACGATTTAGAGTCAATAGCCCGAAACTACAATGAGTGACAAAAGCAGTTGACGTACTTCCCCTTACTTGATGGTCGACATCCCTACAGAGAAATGTTGTAAATAATCGTTAAAGGTTACTTTAAGTCCTCCCTTTCCCCCAAACAATGTTTCCTGGAATAAGTGAAATTCACTTTTAAACATTTTTTTAAAAAACTAAACTAGTGAGCAGCACTCTGCGAACAGAAGTTATAAAACTTTTTTATTCTCTGACGCGTTTCGTCTAACTCTCGTAGACTTCTTCAGGGAGTTATACAAGTGAACACTAAATGCTATTACGGGGGCCAATGACCGTATAGGCTTGGCCGGAATTACGAACAGGAACAGGCTAAATTGTGCAAAATTTTGAAAATTTTTCAGGCGAGGTGGGAAAAATATCGGCGGCCACGGTTTTAGCTAAAAATAGGCAATATTGAAATGTGGGAGAGGGGAAACAATGAGCGTCATATAAAAAATTTTAAAAAGCAGTAGAGAGTGCAAAGACTTTCGCCACTTATTGTAACTTAAATGAAATATGACATTTTAGATATATGTACATTTTGAAATGAGATTTGTTAACGTTTACTGATCTACGCTTACCTACAGAACCATTACAGTTACTTAAAAGCAATATAAACCTCTAGACGACTGAAGCTAGAATATACCATTTTCTCCACTTCTTAAGGTATGACAATGAAGAGCCCAAATACGATTATAGCAACCCTGGATTTACATCCCAAACAGGTCACTTTACGCAGGTAAACTCCTTAGCTTACCTGTAGATATCATTGTGTTTATTTGTTTTACGTAGTCCTTCCGTAATGGAATGAAATCATTTTTCTCGACGAACGAAGGGCAATCAGTACTAAATGGTAGAATAAGATATCTCATGAAAAGTTTGTCTACACAACTATTACTCTGAAATAGTTGAGGGTTTAGCAGATCCTACAGAACAATCGTCCTTGTTAATAAGACAAGGACCAGTGTCCAAATCTAAGAAACGAAAGAAAAAGGTAAAGGAATTAAGATCTATTTAGTGATAACGGTTAAAAGGCTCGGCTAATTTACTCGTATCTGATTGTGACTACAGTAGTAGACGAAAGAAAAATATTCAATCTTATAACAGCATTCAAACATTAACATTGCACACTCAATAAGGTCGTCAAAGTTTCACACCCTCCACTTTGACGTACGCACCAAACCTTCAGGGTAAACTGAGCCTATAGTCTTTCGAAGGAGAGAAACACAAGCAAAAAATGAGGGGTTTCGTATGAGGCTGGAAAGATTTTCCTGCAAAACTAATTTTATAAATCTTGAAATTGAAGGGGACGAAGCACCCTTACATGCATCCTCTGACACGCATAAAACAGGTTCCACCCTAATTGAGACAGGGGGCTGGAACCGAGATGTGCAAACCGACCACCCTCCTCTTTCTTGTCTTGATAAAATAAATACTAACGTACCGACCTAGCCCAATCGACAACGATTCGACATTCAAACCAACCAGAATCCTGTATCTGAGCTAAACATTTTTTATCCAGTTTGTGGATCACAATACCACTCCAATAAGTTATTTCTCTTAAATCTTTCCATACGTTCTCAATTCGCGAGATATTTCAGCCCAAATCCGCGGGATGTAAACCTACTCAGTTTTTCCTAGATAAACTTAAACTCCGTGTTAAAATGGCACGTATCTGCCATCCTCAGGTCGTGTGGAAGGCAACTACATCCGTTGGAGTGGCTCAAACTTCAACCGGGTCGGGACAGTCAAAAAAAATATACATTGTGGCTCGCTATTATCCGGCAGGAAACGTCAAAGGTTTCTTCAGTGAAAATGTGGGGAATAAGCTATCCCCCTGAAGGTAATCGTTCATTTAATCGACCCACCCTAGTTTAGAGAATAGGGCAGCAGCTTAATGGACGGAGAAATGGACAACCTGATGGATTAAGGAAGGAATGGGAAGATGTACGGCTGATGGAGGAAAATACAACAAAAAGTTGAGGATCGATTGAAAGATAATGCCATTGATATAATGACGATTATTGGTAATTTAACTGACTGACTCACTGATTGATTGGAAGTCCTACTGACTGACTCACAGACTGACAGACTGACTGAGAGACTGAGTGACTGAGTGACTGACAGACTGACAGTCTGACAGACGGACAAACTGACAAACTGACAGACTGACAGACTGACTAATTGAATGACTCACAGACTGACTAACTGACTGACAGACTCAATGACTGACTAACTGACTCACTGACAGATTGACAGATTTATTTACAAATTCATTAATAGATAAATTTTAAATTGTTTTTTTCAGGGCCTCAAAGAGTCGCCAGCTCAGTGCAATCAATGGGATGAAATTCAGTGCAAAGAAAATTGAGAGTAGCTAAGTGAGGGGGATGAACTTAGAATTTGGACAACTCAATCTCATGGAATTTGTATTATTAAGCGATAGATAAGGGATAAAGAAATAAAGACAGCATTTAGATCACATTCTTTGTGCACTTTCCGAACTCAATTACTTAACTCCTTTTAAGGGAGTTTGGATTCGATGGAGATATCTGTTTTGCTGTTGTTTTGCTGTGATTTAGCAGATTATACTCCACAATTCAAAAAGTTGGTAACTGAGTAAATTTCTTTGGTCCTTTTTTTTAGTCACTTCTACTTTCTGTATCAACATTTAGAAGACGAAAACTGGAGTAAAACAGCCGGGTTGCACACATGCAGTAATTAAGTGCAAATGGGTAGTCACAAGGACGACTGGACAGGTGTAGGTGATCTTAAACCTTCACACCTTAAACTTACCTTGCAGTAGTTTAAATTGTACAGAGTAAAGGAAAAATTCCTTCTAACACGCTTGTTTCGATTCGCAAGTTAATCACTAAGTGACCTTAAAGAAGAAATTCGTCCTTTTATGACTTATTGATCATAGGAAATATTCAAATGGATGCAGCTACGAGTCAAGTGACCTTCCAAGGAGAAAATCACAGCTTCCCTTGAACCAAAGCAAATTAATTACTTATCAGAATTTTTTTTTAATGGGGCCTCCAAAGGAACGCAGATTGCATGTTGTGTTATAACTTGTTTATTACTTTCTTTCTCATTGTTGCATTTCCCACCACAGATTTTTTAATGGAATCAAAGTTTTCGCAGAATTTCCCACTTGCGTTACTGAGAATTCCGCACACCCTGGCTCAGTAATCGTGGACTGCATACTTTTGCTTGATTCAGGTGTTAATGTTGACAATTCAGCATTACACGTACTGTTCCACGATCTATCTATCAGTAGTACAATCTAGTCTTAAGGTTGCAAAAATTGCTACATTTATTAGCACATGAAATCCACGTAATTCCGTGTGGAATTCAAGACTTGCTCACGTTCTACAACGATTCGTGCACTAATTTCCAATCAAACATGGCTTTACTTAACAATCCTGCTGCTATGTTCCTACGCGCTTAACGCCCTGGAAAAACGTAATTAGATACGTTACTGATCGCAGAACTAATTTGATTATCCTACGTCGCTTCTTATTACCTGCTACTTTAATTGTGACGGTAACACTGTACTTTGACGGTAACGAAATTACAACTTACTTGATACGCAATCAAATTTATAATAAATCAAGGAAATAAATCAAGTTATTGTTGATAATCTTGAACGAAAGCTGCCTTGCCATTTTTCGTCATGCCAGTAATTCCCACGGGCAAAATTACTTGAAATTAAAAAGAGGAAAAAAGGCTCAACCTTGCTAAAAGTATAATAATTTCATCGATGGCGAAAGTTTTTTTAGGAGGGCTAATATCATTGCTTTGGCGTCGTACAACTTATGAAAAAACATGTGAAATTAATTCATAATTTTACTAGTCCCCATGCTATTACTACACTAAAAATATCACATTCCTAGGGTCGATTAGCCATTGCCAGAAGTAGGGTTCTTCTACATTTCTTGGCTAGCAGACCCACACGCACAATATACACATTGATTTGACTGATACTGTGAACTTGATACTGTTATATTCCTATTTTTTTCCAAAATGTAAACAAGTTATCGTGATTATTTTCCGGGAGTTCAGGAATTGGGAGTCAAGTGCAACTCTCGAATTTTCCCAGTCCTTGTCAGACTCTCGTATGGTAGAGGCGAGCGGAAAACGCGAGGAAGCCACAATTGTTCACCACCCTTATCATTCGACATCAGCATGTCGCAAACTTCTTCATGTTGCGAAGGCCTCAGGAGGTCCTTCATACACGAAATATCCCTTCGTAAATCGCCGGCCGACTAATAAGACCTTCCGCGAAGTACTTTGCACGCGAGCTGCCTGTACACCAGAAGCGATGAGATTCTGTTCACAGACTACTCGATGGTCTCTTTTAACAAAGGGCCAGGTAAAGGCTAGAATTTGCCATCATGTTTCACCCCCGCAATAAAGCTGAAGGTGTCAGAAATTAAGTTTCATGTGCGAACCAATTCGTGGTTTCGACACACCCAACCCCTGACTGAGTATCGTGAATATTACCACTCACAATAAACCACGGCACGATCATTCTGTGAAGTGTATATCCGCGAACAACATGCGTCTCATACTCCTCGTGACAACTCTTTTCATTCTTCTTGCTTTTTGCAAGGGAAAGACACGACGAACAATGAAATCTGGTCGAGGAAGCGTCAAAGTTAACAAGCGTTCTGTTACTGGTTGGTGATGTTTTGGTTTTTTGTTATCTGTTGCTAATTTTGGTGTGATATTTGGCGTACGTTCGTCTTCCATTTTATCAGCGGCAATGCAGAATGCAGATAACACGGAACTCTGTACATAAAAAAAACGTTCGACCTCTTTTTCCATTTGTGCCTTTTATCCATCTTCTCTCTTCGATCCTAGCACGTCAATCGGCGTAGACATATATTGTATAAACACAACTTGATGTCTTATGATCACACAGAAGAAAAATGTAGAAAATATATGATGATTTTTGAAACAATGTAGTTTAAAGACCTTCATGGTACTCGAAAAGATTAATCTATATCAAAGGCAAGGATATAGTTGGTCATGTTATGAAATGCGTTGCGTTTTTGAGCTTATTGCGGGCTTGGTGCGATTATCAAAGTCGAGTTATATGATGCGATTGTAGTTGTTAGACATAAGAGCATTGTATGGCCAGGGATGTACTTAGACAACATCCAGAATGTGAATCATGTATTTTTAAGTTTACATTCGTAAATATCTGCACTACAGAAGAAGACAACTCGAATTCAAAGCCCCTGGAGAGTATCATAATCACATGCAGGCGGGGTTAATTACATTCTTTGGCTTGAAACAAAGCAGTGATAGTTGTGAAAGTTGTATGCAGTGATCGTGAAAAAACTTTTACCGTGATCTGCCCAGAACGTATTACAGTTTTCACATCTGCGAGCAAAAACAAGAGAGTGAGAGGAACAGAGAGAAATCATAGCTAGCTAATTAAAGAAAAAATGACAGCCAAAATTTAGTTAAGAATGTGTTCTGATAAACGATCTAATGAATATCGTTGAGATCATCGATGCAAGAGATCAAATAATTTGACATATATTTAATTTATTATCTGCATGCTTTTTTTAACTGATTAAAAAATAAGTAATTGTTATAGTTCAGCCCACACTTCGTCCAAATCCACAGATAAGGTATGCGCCTCTTCGGATCACCAGAACTGCAGGTACTGGAGCGGTTTGGGATATTGCAATCCAAGCAAGTCCTTTTACAAGACGATGGTACTTAAGTGTAAGGGAGCGTGTAACTTGTGTGGAGGTGAGTTAAAAATAAAGCATTGAAAATCGTGCCTGATCTCTTTTCTTTCTGTTTGTAATATTTTAAAATAGGGTTTATTAGAAAGTTCTTCGGCGCTGTTACAGTGTTTCTTGTGAAATAGCCTCGACACATCGCCCTTTCATCGGGAATAAAAACACCTCAATCTCACACCTTACTGAGTTTTAAAAGTTTAACATCATTGACACCACGCGTAATTGTTGAGGACATTTGTCCAAGTTTTGTCGATGTTTATTATTCAAATTAGGTGGAAAGCAAGCATTTTTCCATCCCATGCGATGATCTGCTACTCGCTGCTCACTTCTGCCCAAAATTTGTGGGGTGCATCTCCCACGCGATGGCAGTTGAGCGGAGGATGCGTTTTGGAGGAAATTGCGCAATTTATATTTAGCACGTCTTATCTACAGGGAGCGTGAGTCAAACTGAGGCCATCGCCTGAAACCTGAAAATTGTCAGAACACTTGAAATAAAGCATATTCCAGTTCTGTTTTGAGTTTGAGTTCGACTGAGATGGACTTCGTGCTGGACTTGGAGTCACGTTTCGAGTCAACAATTTGCCAGGCTCCTCAATTTGCTTAATCCGTTTTTAAAAAGGCAAATAATTACGCCATCGCTCTACAATAATTTTTTTCTTAACCTCGTTCCCATGCAAAATAAGTAGCATTGTGCATTTTATCCGGATACTGCCTTTGGAGGGGGTTCGTTGATTTTTGGTCATGTCACAACGGGTATGTTGACAGGAATATAAAAAAAGAAGGAAAGGGAGAAGGCAGGCAATAAAACATTCTTTTTTGTTTCTTCACAGACAAGGACTGCCCCGATCATGTTCATTGCCATTCCTGGAAACAGAGAGGTTTTTGTCGACCTGGAGGGCCATATTACTCCTACATGAAGGCGTACTGTCCAGCCACCTGCGAGCTATGTGGTATGTAGAGATGCTTTGTTTTGATGTAACGCTGGAAGAGGAAGCGAATTGATCAGCGACGCGAAGGTTTGGGTCGTGTTACGCAACCCGACCCAGACCTCCTCGCTTTTTCCACTCCTACGCGTTCCATTGCACCATTTACATGTCGCACTTCGTTTTATTGACCTAAACCCTTTAACTCCCATAAGTGATTATCATGTAACTTCTCCCTATAACAACCTCATATTATCCAGCCAACAGGTAATGAGAATACTCAAACTTATCAGGTAGAGGTGGGTAGTCTTGATCTGGCAACAAATTCTTCGAACTTATTTACAAGGAAATGTGTAGCAGCTAGAGGGGAGAATTAACAATCAGATCTTGGGAGTTAAAGGGTTAACGTCTAATTTTTACGAGGGTCAGTTTTGAACTAACTTACAGTTAGAACGAACGAATATCAAAGCGAGAAGTACCGTAATAGCCAAGGGATATTGAAAATAATGCCACTGACTCGTAAGGGCCTTACCTTCCCATGCATGCGACTGTTTCATTTAATTTTCAGCAACACCATCGTGCAGTAACCTTGAAACATTCACTGTATGACGTTAGGCTTTCCATCAGGCTTCTCGAAGTTACTTTATGTTATTGGACAAATTAATTTTAATATCGGCTCTGAGACCAGCTTGATTACTATTTGGTTTTAGGTTTTGTTGATTAGTTTAGGTCTCTTTCTTTTGGTTTTAGACTATGAATAGTCACCCATTTTCTGCGAAGTCCGTGGCACATGTCAAAATAAATAGTTACAAAAAAATTGATGTTAGCGTGCCACGACGGACTTTTCCGAAGAATGCTCTTGTTCTATTTGATTTTTTAAAATATTCTATTTGACGAATGCATCAGTGTTTTGTAATTTACTACACTAATAGGTTGCGTTCCTGAGCCAAATAATGATCCATCCTGCGCTTTCTTGACGAAAGCCGGTTATTGTAACCCTAAACATCGATTCTATGGCTATATGATGAACAACTGTCAACATTCCTGCGGTTTTTGTCCCGGTAGGTTAATGAGGAGGTTAAAATTTAGAACGACGCAGAGAAATAACGAGGTGATGTGTAATTAAGCTCAGAAAACTACCTGATTTTCTTACGTTGGTGTTGATAGCCTTAGTCTGTTGCGTACATATGAAAATACCACGATCGGTCTTTCGAGGCGACTTTCTTTAACCTCTAAGCAGGCTGAAGCCCTTACTAACGAATGAACTGCTTCGTAAAAATAATCAAAAGGAAATGTGGGATATGAAGTTATCTTAAATGTGTTATTTCTCCTTTGATCAAAAACGACGAAACAGACTGTTATGTTTGTAGGCCTTTCTTAAAGCAGCATCAACATACCTGCGATGTTCAATTTATCTACAACAACAAGTCGTGACAATTATGTGTGTTATGTTTCCTTTCTCTTTTAAATCTTGTTTTTAGGATCGTCAAAGACTGAACCAACAACGTCTACAACGTCTGCTTCGTCAACGACCGCTGAACTATCTACAACGCCTAGTCCTTCAACCACAGGTGTACCATCCACGACGTCTAGTCCTTCAACCACAAGTGCACCATCTACGACATCTAGTCCTTCAACCACAGGTGCACCATCTACGAAGTCTGGCCTTTCGACCACTGGTGCACCATCTACGACGTCTGATGTTTCAACCACAGGTGAACAATCTACTTCGTCATCAAACACTACCGCTGCTCTGACAGCTGAAGGTATCACAAAAATTGTCATTCTTCTTACACATTTTTCTTTGTTTACGGAAATCTCGAATTTAAAATCATTTTAATGGTTTATTTACAGTTAATGCTTGCTTAAAAGCACACAACGAAAGGCGTGCGCTTCATGGTGCAAGTCCGCTGGTCTGGGATGATACACTGAGAGAGCATGCGCAGGCTTGGGCCGATCACCTGGCTGAGACTGGCAAAATTCGTCATGACCCAAACCGAGACGAGGAAGGAGAAAACATAGCTTGGTTTAAAGGATACAGAACTGCAGGTTGTGAAGATGCACTGATGGAATGGTAGGCTGTCTATTAAGTCCTGTATCGATTAAATTTCAATACCCCTCGACGAAAGTGTAAATTCAAAACATTTCGTACTCGATCGACTTCTTGAGTTTATCATTTTTACATTTATGCGTCAAGTACTCTTCTGCTTTTTTAACAACTCACTTCCACAGCAGCTACCTTCACTAAACGAATGCTTAAGAAATGTCTTTGCATGGTTCCACAAGGCAAAACAATGTTTCAAGTTAAAACTTGACTCTGTTCTGTGATTCGTTCCTTCTCTTTCTCTCTCTCCTTGTAAGGTACGACAGAGAGGAACCAAAGTATGATTATAGGAACCCTGGATTTTCTCCTGAAACGGGCCAATTTACCCAGGTAATTGAAATAAATCTTACAAACAGGTCACTATAGAAACCAGATTTGAATTGATTGTCAAAGGTAACCTGTATTTTGATTGGTCTAAATATTTCTGCTACCTTCTCAATCAATCAGATGCAAAACCAGAATTAATCAAACTTATAACAAAATTCTCGAATACGATTCGTTATCACCGGCCCGATTTAAGCACTAATAGGATAGTGTACGCGTCATGCTTGTAGTTGGACAGTGTAATGGCACAGTTGAAATGTCATGTCTGTGTAAGTGGACGGTGCGTGCACTGTTTTTGCGCATTTTGCCGTACCGAGTTATCTATTGTTTTTTTATGAAAACGTATCACCGATCTCTAGTTGCTTTCTCAAATTTTTTCCAAGTTTCCTATTACCATTAGTAATTGCCACTTAGTCCTTGCGTTTTCAGCGTTCCAGGATGTTTTCACTTTGCTGGAATTTACTTCGAGTCGAGGTCACACATGTTATTGGTTTTGATTTACGACAGTCAAAGGAAAAGCGCTCCATCCAATCACTAATAAATTTGCACTGAAAAGATTGAATAACAAGGATTTAGCGACAATCAGCAGCAAAAAGGGCCAGTAATCCTTTTGTATTATCCATTCTAGTAAAAAGAATCAATTTAAGTTAAAATCAAAGAAAATACAATAAAGAAGCCTGAGACGAATTCATGTTTCGACAAAATATAAACTCGTACCCCCACCCCCACCCCCGAGCCCACATACTGAGTGAGCGCGACTACCAACTATACAACAAAACCACAATTTGAAATAGAAGCAAATGTTTTAGATTGTTCTTCGTTCCTGTAATACATTCTAATCATAACTATCAAAAATAAAACCACTGGATTACTAATGCAAATGTTTTAAAAACCCCTGTCATAGGTTGTATGGAAGGACACCAGAGCAGTAGGAGTCGCTCAAGCCTCCAGAGGCTCAGGTTTTTCAAAACAGATCTTTATCGTGGCTCGTTACAGTCCTTCAGGAAACTTCATTTTGAGAAGGTTTAAAGAAAATGTGGTCGAGAGACGAAACCAGCCAAATACAACGCCTAGCTGGAAACGTTCATCCACCAGAGGCTCAAAGACAACACCTGACACCTTAGTCACCAGGAAAGCAGTAACATCAATACAGCCTTCGGCCCCTACCACATCTCTTACAGCTGAAGGTAAGACGGTTACGAAACGTTGATTATATCATATGTTGAATTATAAGCGCGTATTGATTGATTCTTTCCTATGATCTATTGGAGGACTGACGCCTAGATGACATCACCGCGAACAATATTTTGCTTTTTTATCACAAAAAAAAAAAAATAGATTCTATGTTGCTGGGGGTCTGCATTGCAGTAATAAATCACAGAAGACGCCAAAATGTGGTAAGAAAATCAGTGATACACTCGGCTGCGCTCTGTATGCCACTTTCTTGTGTTCTTACCACGCTTTGATCTCTGTGATCTGTTACTGTACAGACGCACGGCAACATGAAATCTATTTATTAAGCTGCACCTATGCAAACCATACTTCGACCTCTTCAAACCGACTCTCCTTTCTTCTCCCATCTGAGCATCTGAAAGACGTTTAAACGCTTCAAATCAGGTCATAATAATAATAATAATGGTTTATTAACAGTGTATCCATCTGGAGGCTCTTCACCTGTTAAAAACTACAATATAAAATGAAAAATTGCAATATACTACAAAAAAAACCAAAAAAAAACAAACAAAAACAAAAAAAAGTATGAAGTCTACAATATAAAAAGCAATAACATTGGACTATGAAAGGATAATGTATGAAAATGTAACATATATTGGTAATAGTAATGAAACCCTATATGCAATTTACAAACTATTTACAAATGTCATTCTGATTTCATTCTGATTTCGTGAGATACTAGCACGATAAGTGACATATACGTTCCAACTAAATGAAAAATTCATCCTCCTTGCTAAAAAGCAACCTCAGCTGAAACGAGATACGAATATAGCGTTTCGATTACCAAGAGCATTTTTCATACTGTCCTGTCGTGTCGGATTGAACTTCCTAAGGTGGAAAAGTTATCATTTTAAGAATAATTATAGCTGATTTGTATGATATGTATATATTTTTATTTAACAGTAAAAGCTTGCTTAAAAGCACACAACGAAAGGCGCGCGCTTCATGGAGCGAGTCCGCTGGTCTGGGATGACACGCTAGTAGAGCATGCGCAGGTCTGGGCAGATCACCTGGCTGCGACTGGTAAAATTCATCATGACCCAAACCGAGACGGCGAAGGAGAGAACATAGCTTGGTTTAAAGGATACAAAACTGCAGATTGTGAAGATGCTTTGGTAGGCTGGTAAGCGTAACGTCCTTTATCCATTGAATTTCAGTCCCTTTCGAAATTTTAAAACAGGTTGTACTCAATGTCCATCACGAAACTTTTCATTTCTAGATTAATGCATCCAGTAAACTTTTCTGGTTAACAGCTCACTACTACAGCAATTTCTTCCATTGAATGAATACTAAATGAATCTTCTTCGCATGGTACCACATATAAGATTATCTAATCTTATCAGTTGACTCCAAGCTATGATACCTTCCATCTCTCTCTCTCTCTCCTTGCAAGGTACGACAGAGAGGAACCTTTGTACAATTATGAAAAGCCTGAATTTTCTCCCGGAACGGGCCATTTTACCCAGGTAATTTCCTGAATCTTACACAAATAGTACAATATAAGACGGATTTTAACTGAGGTTCGAAGGGAATCTGGGATTGTATTGGTTTTACTTTATTTCGCCTTGTGATTGGACTAAAAAAAACTCGCGCCACCATTCTAAACAGATGCAAGACCAATTGTTTGTTGGTCGTCCGCGTTTACGCGCGCCACAAGCCGTATTCTTAATTTTTCAGTGCTATTTTCTTTGTTCTGATGGGCCGGTGAGAGAACTCTTGTTTGAATTTTACGTCACGTAAACGAAAAGCGTTCTATTACTTAACAGACAAGATGAAACCAAGAGTATTTATCAAAGAGGATCTAGTAAAACCAGAAGCCAAAAAAAACAACGAAACGTTTTGGATTCAGTTTATGGAAATGAAGAACTGACTCTCACGAAGCCTAGAAAGGCACACGTCAACGGTATTTGAACGTGCCGACTAAATACTACTTAGCCGCTATTATAAGCCTCATTAACAAATCCAGGCAGCTTTTAGAAGGTTCTTCGTCCCGTAAAGGAATCTTCTCACAATTAACGCAAACGAAATAAAGGGAACAAGTTTCTAAAGAAACTGTGGTGCTACGTCCATATGGGGGTATGACAAGATAGTTTCATTTCATCAACTGGGTTCATAATGTAAATTGGCCACCGTAAAGAATTTCTGGAGCTGACGTTTCGAGCGTTAGCCCTTCGCCATTTGCTGTGACGAAAGACAAATGCTCCAAATGTTAGCTTTATGGTGGCCAATTTACATTAGCAACTCAGTTGATTAAACCAAATTAAGAAATAGATACACTGGATCGAAGATATGATAGTTTTGAACACCCTTGAAATGTTTTTAGGTTGTATGGAAGGCTTCCACAGCTGTAGGAGTCGCTCAAGCTTTTAGAGGCTCTGGCTTTTCGAAAGAGATCTTTATCGTAGCTCGTTATAGTCCTTCGTTTTGAGAAGATTTAGAAAAAATGTGGGGGAGAAAAGAAATCAACCAAACACCACGCCTAGTTGGAACCGTTCATCCGCCGGCGGCCCCAAAATTACACCTGAAACCTTAGTCACCAAGAAAGTGGTGACAACAATTCAACCTTCAGTGCCCGCCACATCTCTTACAGCAGAAGGTAAGAAAACGATTGAGCTACGCAAATTCAGACTGAATCCCCTTCTTCCTCCATCATAGCACCTGGACGACGTTTGAACGATCAACTTGCATAAGGTCATTCTGATTTCGTAGGAAAGTAGTCTTATTATTAACTCTTAGACCCTTAAAGAGTGACCAGCATCTAATTTCTCCGTAGAATATCATCCCTAAATTAAACAATAACGTCACAAGAATAAAGGAAATGATCTAAAGAAGCTCTTGCTTGTTCAAAAAGATTTTCCTTCTCATAAGCTAAAGAAATGTATAGAGAACGGTATGGAAACTACGCATATTGATGTTCGGTTGCAAAAGGCTGGGGACATTATATTCAGTCATAATTTAAAAGCTTCTCCCTTCGTTAAAAGGCAGCCTAAGCTACAATGAGATATTTCAAAAATGCTTTCCGGTAGTGCATTTTCATATCGCCTTGTGTTTTTTTTTCAGCCCTATAACTGATCTTTTATCATCTTTTTTATTTCACAGTAAAAGCTTGCTTAAAAGCACACAACGAAAGGCGCGCGCTTCATGGTGCAAGTCCGTTGGTCTGGGATAACATATTGGTAGAGCATGCGCAGGTCTGGGCTGATCACCTGGCTGAGACTGGTAAAATTCGTCATGACCCAAACCGAGACGGCGAAGGAGAAAACATAGCCTGGTTTAAAGGTCACAAAACTGCAGACTGTGAAGATGCTTTAGTAGGATGGTTAGTGGCACTTAAGTTTTGTAAACAGTTTATTTCTCAAAAAAGTTTTCTGCCAGCTTGCATAGTAAGAGAATGAATGAGACTTGCATCAATTTTCTTGTTCTTTTTCTCCTCTTGAGGTACGATCGTGAGGAGCCAATGTACGATTATGCGAAACCTGGATTTTCTCCCGAAACAGGTCATTTTTCTCAGGTAAATTAGAAAGGCCTATATTAATCACTCAATAAACGGATTTCACACAAATCGTTGTGTGCGTAGGTTATAGAAGTTAATTTCCTTATCAAGGTGGAGTGACCGACAAAAAATTGGCACACATAGGAGACCATTTATTTGAAAGGAATACTTCGAGCGATCGAAATCCAGAGACGTTTTCCGATGATGGCTATGCTTGATGGTGAAGAATAGAATATTACAGATCTAGTCCTTTGAGAACAGAATATAGCGCTAAAATTCAAGGGATACATCTTCGTGATGTCTCTAAGACAGACGCTATCTTTTGCGTTTTTCAGGAGAGCGGAGATAAGTGAGGGGCGGGTGCGAAGGGCGAGGCACGCGCGAGGAAGGGGTACTCCGCCTCTCGCACGAAACTTGCCCTTCGCAGTTGGCGTCCCTCGCCTTTAAAACGCAATAAATGACCCTTTTCCCTTTCGAATAATGATGTCTACAACGCAACACTAAATGTTACTCAAACACTGTATGTATTATTTTTTCAGGTTGTGTGGAAGGCGACTACAGCGGTGGGAGTGGCACAAGCTTCAAGAGGCTCAGGCTTCTCAAAAGAAATTTTTATTGTTGCTCGTTACAGTCCTACGGGAAACGTTCTGAGAAGATTTCAGAAGAACGTTGGAGTCAAGCGATCTAAAAGTTAAAGCATAGAATAGCATAATACACTTGTTCTGTTGGGCCTTTGCATCAATCATGTCAAATGCCTTCGCGTTCACCATTGAGTAGCTTCTGAGTAACATTGAACACATCAACACTCTGCAAGAAACCAGAGGTAAAGAAATTTAAATATAATGAGCGTTGATTTTTAAAACATCCTTTTCTAACTGAGCCACTAGAGATACTCGTCAATGCCAAAAGCAATTTGTTCCTGCTTTGCGTTTTCTTCTTGTACAGAGTTTGCGGCTAGTTTATCTATCGATCGATCTAGCTGTGTAGCTGTTTTGAATTCAATCTGGAAAATTAAATTTTTTTATTGATGAAAGGCCCCTGGTGCATTACACGCTGCAGTTTTCACTAGACTGCATAACAGGTGTTTCTGAAGGTGAAAGAAAAAAATGAAGGAGGGGTCATGGAGTGTCCACCTGCTACCTCCACTAACAGAAGGAAACTAAAATTCCATTACATGCTAACACCCGTCTCTTTCAACCCACTCCTCCCCTTTGTTCTCACACATTTTGCAGTCACCCGGTGTAAATTTCAACTGAAAAGTGTCTTGTCCAGAGGAACAACTCAGTAACAATACCAGGCCCTAATGAAACTGCCGAGCGACTTGATCAGGGTCCCACGTGTTAACTGTCAGGACACCACATTCCAAAATCAAGTGTCATGCTTTACTTGAGACCCCCAAACCAGGTGCACTATCACAGCCGAGAGCTCAAAACTCTTAGGAGGACCTCTTTAAAGTAACTTTCTCTTACCCTCTAGCTACAAAACAGTGATATCCCCCACTTCTTGCTTGAACCTTCCCCAATAGTTTCCTGGGGGCGTGTAACGAGCCACAACGTAGGTCTTAGTCCAAAATCCGCGCTTTATAGTGGCAATGCCGACACCCAGTTGCCTAGTAGACTTCCATACCACCTGTTGGGAACAAACCGTGCTTTTCTTGTTAACCCTTAAGAACTCTAAGAGTGACCAGCATCTAATTTCTCCTTACAATGATACTGCTGAATCATTCATCAAGATCATGAGAATAAAGGAAATGATCACCAACCTAGGAAGCTTTGATTGTTAAACAAATCCTTCTCGTCAGTACCAAAGGAAAAGTGTAGAGATGAGTATGGAGAATATGCATACTGATGTTAGAATGTAAAGGATTAATGTAAGAGTCCAAAATACTCTCGTGGTTTACGCTCCTTATCAAGGCTTAGTCAGGGATACTTTCGCATGTATCTACGGTTCACGGCCCAAAGTTTTTTGCGCCTGTGTAGGAATATCCCAAACGAAAGCGGTTTGGGGTTTAGAAAGTACAAACTATAGCGGTCTGCGAACTATTGCCCCTGGTGGCAGACTTTAACATTCTGAGCTCCCTTAATATATTCTCTATTCTCTAGATATGATTTATGTTCATAATATTCCTCTCTTTTTTCATCTCTTAACACTTTAACCCCTAAGAGTGACCAGCATCTAATTTCTCCTTACAATATCATCCCTGAATCAAACATTAAGGTCATGAGAATAAAGGAAATGATCACCTACTAAAGAAGCTCTTGATTGTTAAACAAATTCTCCTTATCAGCTCCTTAGGAGATGTATAGAGAACAGAATGGAGAATATGTATACCGATGTTGGGGTGTAAAGGGTTGACTGGTAACAAAAAATTAAAGCACTCAAATGATACTCTTAACAAGTAGGTTACGTCGTTGCTATGGCAACTTTTTAAGTCAGGAAAAATTATCCACACCTGTGTAAAATGTCCAATTTGAACACCAGGTACGTCAAAAATAGATTTCGGGGGATTTGAGAAAGGATAATCAGAAACTTCTCCATACCTAGGAAATAAAAATACAGGAATGAAAACATTAATGCAGAGATCAAAAATTGACAGAAAATTATCTTTCAAGACAAAAAGACGGTCTTGCAACGTAAGTCAACCCAGGCATGTATACATATTACAGATAGTGCGCATGTGCCAATTTAAAACAATACATCACCATATTACCATACTGCTTGCGTGAACCAGCGTCTCTAAATTTGCAGAATTTGTACAATGTGTCATGCGCAAGTTCTACATTCTGTTTTAGTAATAAGTAAAAACATTTCCGCAATTCCCCATACAAATTTGAATTAAATAGGTTACCAGGCATCAAGAGCGTCTTTGCATGTTGCTGTCTTTTCGCTACTACCCATTGAGTAGTAAAGGTTTTCTCCCTCTCCTCTCACACGCGAGTGCTCGAATTTATTCCGCTTTGCAAGGTCCAGGGCCCAAGCTTGAGCACTCCGGGCCAGTGTCCTGTTCCATGTCAGCGGTCTAGCCCCGTGCAGAGCACGCGCCAAGTTATGGGCTTCCAGACACTCTTTGAGGTTCACTGTCGATGAAGATGGAAGGATCGAATAGGTTTTTAACCAAAGAGTAAACTGAAATAATCATTGAAAAACATTATTTGATCACTACCTCTCACAGGTCGGGGCCTTGGAGGTGGGGTAGGACGAGCTGAAATGAGAAAAAAGATGATAAAGATTATGCAAACTTTATTGAGTGATCGACAGTTCTATTGCGTGATAGTTGATAAGGGTGGAGCCTGAATCAACTGTCACGCATGAAAGTCGAGACAGAACAGAACAATCAAATCATTTCAGTTTAAATCTCCACCAATTGTACGAACCTTATGAACAAGACAAGCTTATATTTTTAGTTTATTTTATTTTAAAACACAGAAATGTTCTTATTTACTTCTACTGTTATTTTTCCTACTACAACCACTGCTTGTCTTCCATATTTTTTCTTCCTCTTCTCCAATTTTTGTGTTGGTTTGTGAAACACGTATTCACTAACTTACCAAAGCGATCATTATTCAGGTCTTAAATCACTCTAAACTTGGATGAACAGCTCCCTTTAGCATAAATTCTTGAGCTTAAGATAGCCTAGAAGAAGACCCTTTAACCTCTAAGAGTGACTAGCATCTAATTTCTCCTCACAGCATCACTCCTGATTCAAACATTAAGGTCATGAGAATAAAAAGAACGATCAGCAACAAAAGCAGCTATTGATTGTTCAAACAATTCTCCTTGTCAGCACCTTAGGAAATGTACAGAGAACAGTATGGAGAATATGCATACTAGGATATTTTTTCTCTCTTTCGATAGGCCGACTTGTTTTGATTGATTGCTACGACACACATTTTAAATGGGCTTTATCTAATAAAAAATTAGCTCTGTTAAAATGATCCCCTTACAAACCTTGACAAATGCCGCAAGAGGCAGGACAGTTGGTCGACACAAAATCATAGTAGAGGTGCCCTTGATTACAGTATCCTTGCTTTTCCCAATGGCCACAGCCGGCGTTTTTATCTCCTCCTCCCATGGGGCAGACTAAAAGATGAAAAGAAAGTCGTTGAAAACATTCAAATCCACATAAGATTCACTGGAGAAGATATCGCACAAGAAACCGTTGAAAAAAATTATTGCTCCTATATCTCTGTTTCAAAAGTTGCCAGATAACTAAGGAAATGATTAAAACCAAATATTATCAGCATTGACTGCACCTTGCTTGAATAAATTACTACAGGTCCTTAAAATAAATTCGATAGAATTGTTAATTGGCGTAACAGAATTAATCTAACATCTTTGGGGGAACGAGTTATGACGATCACTCGCCTTTGAGATGTTACTATGGTGACTTAAAATTTAGCCTATGTGCAAGTTCAAATATAAAGTGGCTAAACATAATTTTTTTAAAATTCCCGATAATTGTATCGCGATCAGCTAATCGTAATTCTGTAATAAGACGTGCACATCACCATGTTAGTCTTAAGCGACCAATTACGGAATCAAGGGTATTGTTGACTGCCAAAGAGGTTTCTGTGCGAGACTATGTAATGGAGATTATCAATATAGTCCCACAATGTTAGGAGATTTGATTGTTACAATATTTTTGTCATAAGATATGATGGATTTGATAAATTAAAGCGCAGGTTCTGTAAGAGGGGAAATTTGTTAGTTCAATTCAGGTCATGATTTATGCTCGCTAAAATTTCTAAATTTTGCGTAGGTATTCTCTGAACTGGGAAACCACCAAAGAAACCTTTCCGACTTTTTAGATGACTTTTCTGGGCCTTGGGGAAGGTACTTTCTAAACCTTGTGATAAAAACTGTTTAAAATGCGAAAAAAATTATCTCATGAAATTATGAAAAGGCAAAAAAAAAAAAAAAAGATGAAATTGCTTTTTTCTGAGATTTAACGAAATGTATACATGTACCTTAAAACAGATAGCTACCGGGTACACTTGCCTAAGTCACATGATCATGGGTAACTCAAGATCGAAATATTCACCTTTTCAAAGATTAAAACCATTTTGAGACAAGATTGTAACATTACTTACGGCCTTTCTTTGCAATGGCATAGCGGTGAAGCGGGGGTCTGGCAGGTCTACCAAGCTTGCGATGACGACATTCGCTCAAGAACAACATTAACACAAGCAAGAACGCCACCGTTATCATCGTCATCGAAGCCATCTGTGAAAATAAGAAATGGGAGAATGTAAAATTATTTTCAGCTCACTTGTGAAACCTCCTTGTTTTTCAGCTTTAAGCTAGAGTGAGACGCCAGTAATTACCTGCAGTCGGAATTTTATATCATTCGCGGAGATAATTTCTATAATCTGTCTTGATTCCTTTAAAGCCCTTGATTAAGAGTTGGAAATTAAAATAGTCGTGATTAAATTCTTAATCAGATCGTGAATAATTTATAGACTTTGGTCTCTTTCTTGTTCACGTAGACATAGAAATGAACTGTGAAATTCAGAATAATGGTGTGAAAAATTAAGGAATTTTCTTTGTGAGCTTTCAATAGTAAACAAAAAAGCGTAAAAGTATACGTTTTTTATCCACACTTGGAGATATGTTTAACTCCCACGTTTTAAATACATGATATCCGAGCAGAGAGCTGACATGTCATGTTTTATTCAATAAATTACTTTGTGCTAGT